ATAACCAGGACACCGACCTACCCAGGTCACTAACATAGCATAATCCTATAACCAGGATACCGACCTAACCAGGTCACTAACATAACATCATCATATAACCAGGTTACCGACCAAACCAGGTCACTAAGCATAAGAATATCACCATCCTAACTACCAGGATGCAAAACAATAAACATATCATGTAATAATCCGGATACAAATCCATTAAGGGCCGGCCTTGGTGCCTTAGACCCTGTTGATATAGTGAGGATAACTTACCTCAAAATGCTGAAGTCCCGTAGACACAATCCCAACTGTTGGATGACAGATTCTCGAACTGTCAATATCAAAACATCACCCAATTAATAATTGGGTCCCAACACATAACCACAAGTTCTTGGAGTAACAGGCTACATTACCCCATCTTGGCTTGATTCAAGCCTAAGGCCCAATCCAAAGGCCAAAAAAAGACAAACTAGGAATCAAAGCCCAACATATGGCCCAATTTTCCAAATTGGGTACAAACCTTTACATGGTCATAATTAAAAGCCTAGCTACTTAGTCCACTCCAAACATATGGTATTTCCAATGGCCCAATATCATATAATCTTCAAGGCCCAAACTATGGCCAATCTACGGCCCAATTTTCCAAATTGGGCCCACACCCTCATATAGGCCTTACCCTAAGCCCATCAACATATTCTAGTCCATATGATTATTCTTGGATGGCCCATTAATAACCCAATCATCAAGGCCCAATAGAAAGGGCCAACAATAAACCCAAGTGAAATTAGGGTTTCACATAAAATGACGATTAGGGTTAAGAGTTCCTACTTAACCCATTAAGGACTTATTCCATTAAGGACTTAATCCTTTAAGTCCAATATTACCTTAGGTTAATTTGCACCTGATTATTAATTATTATTATTGGTTTAATAAATAATTCTCGTGTGGTCCCGATAAATCCCAAAATTAGGGTTTCAAGGCATTAGGGTTTTCCAAACCCTAATTAGGGTTTCCAACCCAAAAACTAGCCCATTAATCAAATGGTTGGGCTTTTAGGTCAATTAGGGCTTCATTGGGCCCATTAGGACTTAGTAATCCATTTGTCCAAACATCCAACGAGTCACAACCCAAACAAGGCACACCGCCACCCGACGCGACGGCCGGTGGCGGCAGCCACCACCTTACGGTGGTGGTTTAGAGTTTTCTTACTATTCCAATCAATTACAAAGTTACAACGTGATATTCAACACACACAACACACACTACATCACACACACATCCACCACCACACGGCGGCTGATGGTGGCAGAACAGCAAAGGCGGCAATAACCATCATGGTTGGCAGCCATGGTGGTCTTCCATGGTTTCCGGCCAAACCAAAACCGTACATGAAAAGAACAGCAGGAGGAGAGACTACACGTGCATATTGGCTCGAAAAGAAACCCAACACCCACCTGTGGTGGGCGGCGACGACATCAGCAACACGGGAAAGCGGCAGTAGCAGTCACGACGATAGGCAGCAGCTCGATTATCGGCGACAACCACCATGGCCGACTGCCATGGTGGTTCTTCACAATATTCACACACGACTCTGATACAGCCACCCTCGCATCAGCTTCGTGATTCCACGAACCTAACCACCAATCCACGGTGGCATACGGCGGCCGAGAGCGTCAGCCTCCAAATGGCAATGGTGAGGCAGCCATCGGAAGGAAAGGAAGAGAAAAGAAGGTGGTTCGAATCCACCGAGTACAGCAGCAGCAGCGGCGACGAAGAAACGCCTACTCGAGTCCTCGTCGGCAGCTCCGACATCAGCATCCATGGCTGCAAGCTCGTCGACATCCATGAAAGGAGATGGTGGGGGAGACCGGAGGGCAGTCCACGAACAACCGGCGACAGCAACACATGTATTTCACTTTCCCGTCATTAGGATGCACGCGAGAGGGGCTGCTCCGGTGGTTTGAGATCTCAACCGAGGTGGTGACGGCTGGGAAGGGGAGGTATAAGGGTGGTGCGACTGAGTTCTAGGGTTAGGGTTTGACAGTAATGATGCTTATATACCCGGTTCCACCAGCTTTTCCCATAATAACACAAATAGTCCCTCCTTGCAATATCCTTTTCAAAACAAATCCCAAATTTACCCATTAGACTCCGCCTTTCCAAAATCCTTTCATATTAGGTCCATAATTCACTTTTTAACCCCCACTTCCATAAATTCTTACATATTAAATCCAAATAATACCATACACCCCTTGACTTATAAAAATCTTTACAAATTAAGTCCCACAATTACACTTTAACCACTAGAGATTCAAATATTGTCATGTGGCTTTCCTGAAACCAACACCCCACTAATTATTATTTGATTTTGGGCTATAATAACATATAATAATAATACAAATTGCTTCTCGGGTCCCAGGTTTATTATTTAATTATAATATTTTAAACGGGATGTTACAATTGGTGCTAGGCTCTCAAACTCCAAGCAATCAACCAATACTAAAATGTATGTAATTCTACTAGTGTTTTATGATTCAAGTACCCCATAACATGCTATTTAGGATGTAAACCTTGGAAAATGATTATTTGCATGTATTTTAAAGAAAACATAGATCCAAGGTTTCTAGGGTTGCATGTACACCATAGGAGTGTTAGAATGCTCTAAACCCTTCAATACTAACATCTATGTAGATATCATTCTCTAGAACTTTATAGTATCCATCCAGTAGAAGACATGTGTATTCACCTATCGTATAGCACCTGTATACAGCAAAGATAGACTCTATATAGTCTTGGGTTGTTCTTTTACCTAATATTTGTTTGGCATCCCCCTAATATGTTTTATACAATGGGAAGTCAATGTTTGATAACAAAGATAATATAGGACAAAATATCATATCATAAGTACTTACATATTTGTCAACACCAAGGAACCATATTTCATGGCGACGACATTATGGTTTCCATTTACACAGTATCTGTACTGGCAAAGCTTCTCCAACACACGCATATTTAAGTTCTAATATGGATGTAATGTCTCTAATGGTGTCTCGGCTGAAGGCAAAAGGGGAATAGTTGTTAGTAATCATATGATATTTTTAGTATGTTATAGACATGTAAAAGTGATGATATTTAGAAGCATGTGAATATGAGAGAAGTAGGAAGATGTTTGTTAGTGATTATATGAACCTCATTTTATATTCACCATGCCTAATAAATCTTTAAACACAACATTTTTTGTTAGGTTATATGCATTGTATTCATTGGTGTTTATGAGGAATTTGATGGAGTCAAGAGATGTTGCTCTAGATAAGGCGACATAAAGTTGACTGTGTGTGAAAACAGGCTGGGGTAAATAAACTCCAGTTTTTTTAGTGATTGTCCCTGACTTTTGTTTATAGTCATATCATTACATACTTTAATCGAAAATTGCTTCCGTAAGAATGAAAATGGTAGGTCCGGTGGGCTGTGCACCCGTTTTCCAATACATGTTCCAGTGATGATAGTTTCTTCAATGACAGTGACATGGGATGCAGTTATTGCTGATAAAAAAATGGCGGTCTTGATGATATTGGAAGCCTTGGTGCTCTTAACTTAACTCTTCTCCAAAAATGGCGATGTAGATTCTTGAATAATGGAAATCTGATTTGGGTGAAAGTGATTAAGGAATTATATGGTTTGAATGGTGGGTTTGGTAGATCTCGTAATCTTGGGGTTGGAGCATGGGCTCACATTTTGACTTCTATCTTTAGAATCCAAAACCGAGGGGTTGTGGTGGATTCTTTAATCAAAAGAAAAATTGGTAATGGGATTGATACAAAGTTTTGGAAGGATAAATGGCATGGAGATATTTTGGCAAATAGATTCCATAGATTATTCGAGCTTGAGTTAGATAGGGAGTGTTTTGTGGTGGATAGAAGATCTAACGACGTTTGGTCATGGTCTTGACAACATGTCATTCAAAGGGGTGAAGAATTGGTTCAATTCTCTGATATGTTGGATTGTATTCAAGATGTTAGTCTGATTAATATATGGTTATGGGATATTGGTACAAATGGCTCTTTCATAGTTGGAGAAACTAGGAGATGGATTGATGATGCGATTCTGACTACATTGGGTCTCGAAACAATATGGAATACTTTTGTACCTAGAAGGATATATATTTTGATTTTGTGTGTGTTGTTGGATAGACGTCCTTCCCAGATTAATCTAGCTAACAAATACTTGGATATTCCAACGATTTTGTGTCCTATTTGTCAACTTGAAGTGGAACAACTTGACCATTGATGGTGTGTCGTTGGAACAAACAAAGACTCGCGCCTAGATGCGCCAGAGAATTCCCCAAGGCACGCCGCACCTAGAGGAACAGACCCGACGGGGCTTAGCGTCCGGTGGCGCCTCTAAGAGCAGAGCGCCCGCAGAGAAGGCCCGACCTCGCCAGGAACGCCTTCTATTCCGCGACAAAAGTATAACGGCTCCATGCGACAAGGAAGATGCTCAGAGCATTACCATCTGAACTAACCGTTGGCTCTAACACATTAAGGAGCACGATTATCCAATCAACGTCCCCGATCCTGTCGGGTCTGAAGCTCTTGTCCTATACGGACTAGCAGAGGGGTTCAGTATAAAGGCCACCTCCGGTGCCTTGGAAGGTAAGTCGCTTTCTCCCAAATCACCCTAAATACACCCATGTCTGTCTACTAACTTGACCGCCAGAGCATTTTCCTGGGAGCCTCCTCCTGGAGAACGACTGACGGTTTTCTCTCGTTGTGACCTCGTAGGCTCATCGGAATCATCAAAGGCATAAGGCGTAAACGTCTGGTGGCCACGTCGCATCATTTTGCGCCATCCAATGTGTGACGAACAACAAACCAAAAGCACACTCCTCAACGCTCGAATATGGCATCCGGCGACACTGGCGGAACTGGTGGGACACCAAAAAGTCCCATTAGACCTATGATGTCGTTGGAACCAATTATCGGCCTAGTTCTTACACCAAGCATCGGTGAAACATCTCAAGAGGGAGGATCGATGATAACCACTGCTCCAACAAACGAGTTATGGAGGTCGACTGTCGAAGGACCAGTTTCCTCTGCCGCCGTAATGGCACAAAGCACCTCTGTGCAAACAAGACAGCTGACATTGATCTTAAGCAGCATAACACCACAAATGGTGGACGACGTCAGTGGTATACCGGTTTTCTCGCAAACACCGCTGCTATACCAAATGGCGGGAGAACAACTGGCGGTTTTCCAAACACCACCGCTGAACCAAATGGTGAGAGAACAAACAATGGCTTTCCAAACATCTCCGTTTGTGACAAACATGCCTTTCAACACCATAATCTCACAACATCAACCATTTATGTCTAACAACGCAATCGCACAGAACCCACCCCTCTTGTCAACCCAAACATTAACCTTCCCGTTTCAACAACAAACCTTTTATGGACCAAACCCCGGGCACCTCTCGGCATATAATGGCATGCTAATGCAACCTTACCTCACCACCCAACAGTATAACCCACATGGTGCTTTCTCCATTCCAAACCAAGATTGTCTATCGAGAAGTGTAACATCTCCGTTCGCCAAGGAGCTCTTAGACTACGAAATTCCAAACACAACAAATTTACCACACCTCAAGACCTACAATGAAACCACAAATCCGGATAGCCACATTGATACTTACGAGTGGACGATGACCTCTGTAACGACCGCAAATTCGGGCTAGTCAATTTAGAGATAATAAGCGTTAAAAATGACTTTTTTATAGAAGATTATTTAGAATAAATAATCTTAACCAAATTATAGTATATGTCACAAGGATTTCGTGCATATAAAGAACCCTGAAATCCGACTTATAACGAAGAAGTTATTACCCGTCGAAGTTTTGCGACAAAACCGGCATGGCGCCGCGTATCGTAAAAAGTAAATTTTTGACAAAATACTTTTTAGCCTTATCGATCTAAACAAAAGTCGTAGTATACATTAAACCGAGAATGTACATAAAAAGAACGTCCAAATCTGACTTCGTTAGAGGAAGTTATGATTTTTTCTAAGATTTAGCATAGCGGTACACAGCCTGGAAATCGAATTTTAGATCAATCGACTATTATCCGACACAACCTAAAATAGAATTGAATATCTCATTAATAGGTGCTCAACGATATAAAGACAGTCGAAAACGGACGTCGGATGACAAATTTATGAAATTTTTAAGAACTTTAACTGTCTAAGCCTGTTAAAATATAACTTTAAAAATAAATTCAAAATTATTCAGCGGAGTCTAAAATAAAGTTGTAGATCCCGTCGATACCTATGCGTGGGTATAAAGAACGTCAAAAACGGAGCTCGTATGCGAAAGTTACATATTTTAGAAGATAATTAGTTTTTAGAGTAACCACCGAGTGACACGTGGCAAGATCTGGGCTGTCCCTTCCTTCTCACGGCTTGGAACAAGATTGTGACACTTGTACGGAGTACACCCAACGTAACTCGAAGTACGCGCCAACGTACTGCTGTTTTGGCCTTTACGCCCAGCGTACGCGGCTGCTGGCAGCCTATAAATAGAAGGCGTTTTCACTCATTCTTCTCACATCTTCCCATCCAACTCTCTCCCAAACATACCCAAACCTTCTATTCTTTCCCCTAGCACCTTCTAGGTGTTAGAAGCGAGTCCCGGAGTGCCGAAAAGCCCTGAGAAGAAGAGCTTTCGGCTCAGAAGTTCTGCCCACGCAGAGCCCGATTCTTCGCTAAACTCCCTTGTAAGTGAGTTATGTTTACCCTACATTAAGTATAACTTATGTTTAAGTTCATTATCGTTATTATGAACCTATAAAAAATATTTATCAGTGATTCCAAGTCATTATACTGATTGATCTACTTACGGGGATGATGTCTAGGTTGTGATTTAGTGAGGTGTTTAAAGTGGGATTTCCAAACAGTATACTTCGTATACCAAACGGACCCTACCTCCGATATGATCCTACCTGGTTGTTTCTTACTTTATAGATCTTGAAGTAGACTTTGATTTAATGATGAATCTAGACTAATAATTTGTCGCAATAAATATTAGACTAAAATCTAGTAATAATGATGTTAGGTTTCGTCAAAGGAAAAGCAGTTGCTAGAAGCGAAGCGCTGCCTGAATTTCGAGTCGTCAATGTAACAAGTGTGTGCATGGTCCCTTTCATGAACATGATTTTAATACAAGTATTAATAAAAGTATTAAATATATGTTGAAAGTTTATATGTGAGTTATATGCTTATTATTTGGAAATATGTGTTATATGTATATTTGATGATATACGTTATGCGAACCAGACAAGGTTCTATATGTGTTGAGATGTATTTACATGATAATGATAATGGAAGTAGTATAAACCATAAGATAAATGTATGTTAATACTTAACACCCTGTATAAAAATATTACACTAAATTAAGATAGTGTTGTCGTAACAGAGTTAGTATTGAAAGTTGATTATAAGCATTATAGGCTTGCTTAGTGATGAAATAAGACTTAAAAGAGATGCTTAGTTCAATTAAGTTTGAATATTGGGTAATATCTTGTTAAGGGTACGTGTGTGATCGGAATAGAGAGTAGAGTAGAAACTCTGTTCTAGAAGATTGATGATCGGTGGAGTATGTCCTACGTACAAAAGTACTTTTTAAGTACCAAGTCTTTTTCAAAGCTCTGTGTCTTAGGTGCTGCTTGTGTCGGGGTATTATTATGTTCTAGGGTACGAGTCCTACTCATACAAGGGTACTATAATGTGCCAAAAGTACTATCATGTACAAAGTCCTTCTTTTTGACACTATTGCGTGTCGGGGTACGGGAGCGTACGTGAGTACTTTATTAGTATTTCCCCACAATTTTTATTTTGAAGAGATTGGGAGTCATTGTTTCTCTTATGAAATGATCAGACGAGCTGCATGTGTCAGCGTTTCCTTTCATGAAGTAATTGAGGGCACTTTGTAGACTGCCTAATATAGTGTGTTAGTAATAGACCACTACCAGGTATGTCTGATGTTGTATTTCCAGATAGGGTGAGTCTGGGGGTAAAATACCTCACGGTATCAAACCACTGCTAGGCAAAGTTTGATGTTATATTGCCGGATAGGGTGAGTCTGGGGGTGAAATACCTCATGATGTCAGACCACTGCTAGGCACAATTATCTAGATAACTACCCCTGACTTAATCGTCTTGTTGTTTTTACGAACGGAGGTTCGTGGTGAAACTTATTCCATTCCCCTCATTTGATATATTTGTTGATCGTCGTTTGCTGCCAGGGAATTTATGAAGCAACGTCGTCAGTTTGTTGTTCATATTGATCCTTTAGGCTAGATCTTGTAAGATCGTTGTATAGGAACTATACGTGGGAATCGACGGGATGGGAAAAATTGTTGTAGAGATATGATATATCTGTGTTAATGATAATAGTTGGATTTACAGGTTTGAGATATACATTATTATCACATTGTGGGATTGAAATCCTTATGTACTCACCAGGTTTCCCAACCTGACCCACTCAGTTTATGTGACATCCCCATTTTCACGGCCATAAAAGTCCGATTTGTTTATGTTTTGTTTAAAAATCAGAGTAATAATTTAAATAAAAGAGTTGCGGAATTTGTTCCCAAAACAAAATTTGATAAAGATTTATCAAAGCATTTCCATAGAAATGTATTTCATTAAAAGACTCAGGATGTCATGTTCGATACAGATCAAAAGCATAAACAGTACAACATAAGCCTCACTACATTATTTCGTATTTACAGGCCTAAAATCCCTTATCTCTCATCCAAACATCTATGCTCATGCGTCACTACCTGTAATACAATAAACTGAGTGGGTCAGGCTTGGGAGCCTGGTGAGCACATAGGGTTTTCAACCCACAATAAATAAGTTTATTAACTTTATCAAACCAATCAAACCCGATTACCCCTTCCCGTTATCCTCACTTTACGTCCTAAAACATCTAACACAAGGGACCTAGTCTAAGGACTTTCATCGGGATGACAACACATGCTTCGGGGGTTCCTCAGCAATTCATGTCAAATAAGGCAACCATGTGGGGGATGGAGTACTACTGGTGAGCACATAGTTCAAATAAACACCTACAGGTTGCGAGCCTGCTAGCGTTCCACTGGACTATCTAGAATAGTCCGTGGTCATCATCTATACTCCGCTAGATGACTGGATCATCAATAACATCTATAACGAGGCTTCTCATTATTTTATTTTGTCACACAGCAACTATTACATCTACCCATGTTTTACCCAACACATTTTTGTAGATATAAAATACATATACACTTTTAAATCATTTAAAACATGTATAAAATCGTTCATCCAGCATAGATAGCAGTATACAGATAATATGCACACATAGCACGTAATTTATATAAAATACTTCATATCTATGTGTAAGATGAAAGTAACTATGCACTCACTTGATTAGGTGGTGACTCGGTACTCGGACAGCACTTCGTTATCTCAAAACAATTTTTTTCCCTTGACAAAACCTAGTATCAATACCACTAGGGTTTAGTCTAATGTTAACCGCACTAATTAATAGCCTAGCTATTATTACTATTATATAAGCGTTAAACAATACTCTTCACCCACTATGTACAGACATGGGCCAGACATAAAACACCGGAGGGCAGGACCATTTTGGCATATAGCACTTCTGAAATCCAACAACCCTATGCGGCCCTTTAAACCAGATTCCCCGTACCGCGAGTAGTTAAAAATATATTATAACGACACTTATATAACTCATAATAATAGCCCAAATACTCATTATAAGGTCCTAATAATGTTACTACAATTAATTAAAAGCTATATTAAAAATAACGTAGGCGTAGCTCACTTAGAGCGTGTTTTCTCGAAAACCGGGCTTCGCTTGGAGCAGGGTTTCTGAACCGAAATACCCTTTTTCTCGAGACTCCGAGAGCCTCGGGGCTTCCTTCGGGTGCTAGGTGGTTTACCTAGGCTTAGGGGGGGTAGGGACCTTAGAGAGAGAAAGAAGTTAGAGTGAGAAGTGGAAAATGTGTGATTTCTTCGACAGCCCTCGCAACCTATTTATAGGCACGGGCCTTCGGTTGTACGCTGGGCGTATAGCAGCACTACGCAGGGCGTAGTTCGGATAGGGACGACAGGTGGCTAGACCTCGGTGGGGCGACGTGGACGATGCTGGACCGAGGAAGGGTAGAACGTTGGGCGTGTGAGGCTCGTACACGAGGCGTACACGGTACGTGGGGCGTCCGAAGCTTACGTTGGACGTCCAAAGTGCGACGTGTCATCATCCGAAGCGAGCACCGTGATCAACAAGCGAC